GAGAGCACATGTTTCACCTGGTTTGTCATACTGAAGGTGAGTCCAAAAAATTTCAACTTAATTCAGACAATTCTAGGTTGGACCAAATGTCTATAATGTGTGATTTAGTTGCTAAACAGGGGCAGATTATTTTCAATTTCTTGTTGCATGCAGAATATCTGTCACATTTATCAACTGTAGTATATTTAGCCCTATGATTTGGGCTCTTTCCAATCCCCCCACACTAATAAACTGAATATACTTGCTTTTTTAAATGCATTTTTACTTCTGCTCTTAAAAGATAGCTATAGTTTTAATTTTAGAAGCCACATACTAATTGAATGTCATGAGAACCACACAAGAAGAAAAAGCTTATATGGTCTTCATAACTTTCACCAGGGTATCAGCCATATGGATCAGCTTATAAATCCTTACCAAGGTTTTCTTTGTCTCTTCTTCTCTATTGAGTTGAATTTTCACTCACAGTGTGTTGAAAGGCACTATGGAGTCATGTCACATTAAAATGATTACAAACTGAGGATGTTATAGACCAATGGTGATACTCTCTATAGTGGATTAAATTGTGTTACTTGGTTTCCTGCAATATTGAAACTTTGATAGGGAAGTGAAAAAAATAAGATCAAGTACTTAATGGAGATGGCAGTGCATATTTATTTTCTAAGGAATCTGTAATTCAAACTCTTCACTGGCATCTGGAAATCACTGAGATAACATCATTAATTTCCATTAATGTAAGAGTTAGTAGAAGCAGACCTTAGTAGGAAAAGCCAGGCCAGGGCAAGTTTTATTTGCCTATTCCACAGACAACAGCTCTTTATCATGGTTTTGCAGGCATAGAAATGACAAAAGCCTGAAGAAATTCTTAGGTCACCTATTGAAAAGTTACTAAGAAATTGGACCACACATGTTTCCTCTATATTCTTACTGTACACAGCACACTGGCATTCTTGAGAATTCAATACTTAATTTAGATAAATACACCCTAAGTTTGCTATAGTTGAATTTTTTTTCAAATATAGGAAAAGTTGCACTCCAAAAGGAAATGCTTGAGAATTTCGAATCTGTTTAAAAGTGAAATTTTAAAGAAATCATTCTACATTCAGAAGTTAACTTTATTAAAAGGCTGTCACCTCAAATGGCCAACATTTTTTACAATATCAAATTCGCCATTTTCTCAATGTTTATCAGAAATTTTAACACAAATTGAAATGATAAACTACAAAAGACATGTGAATTTGGTGGGGGTAGGATGGAGTTTGAACTCAGGACTTCACACTTACAAAGCAGGCACTCTACTGCTTGAGCCACCACACCTCCAGTCCATTTTGCTCTGAGTTAATTTGGAGATAGGGTCTCACAAACTATCTGCACCAGGTGGCCTCATACCGCAGTACTCCCTATCTCAGCCTCCCAATTAGCTAGGACTACAGGCATGAGCCACCAGGCACCTGATGTAAATACAATTTTTGACAGGAAAACTGAGTACTGACTAGATACAGGGTTACAAGAAATGGTGCAGAAAGGTTCAGTCATCATAAGACATTATAAACATTTCCATCTAATCTATTTCTGAGCTTTTTTATATTATAACCTGCAACAGCTGGGGATCTCTTTTGAACTTTAGGATCCTATAGGCATATCCTATAGCACTTTATAATAACCAGTTCATAATTCCCCTTTATCAAAAGAAAGCAGCACCTCTGGGATGAGGCAGGGCTATGAGAAGAAAAACAGAAGACTTTCTTCATCCAGCCCCATGACTCCACCCCACCCCAAATTGCTTTGTGCCCACTCTGGTACATTAGCAGATCCCTAAGGAAATCCTAGGCCTGAGGAGCTTTTATAAATCACTTAAACTTGGCAGCTATATAACTGAACAAATGGTAACTTCAGGCTATAAGCTCTCAAGGAAATGGAAACCTCCCCTGACTTTCACTCATACATTCATTCCATGCAAATAAATTGAGCACTACTCTGTGTCCCATTTTGTGTTAAGCACTGAGAATATCATTAAGAGTAAAGGCCTATACCCCCTCCTTTCAAATAACTTCATTATAGAACATTCCTGTTTCCACGTAAAAACCACGTACCAGTGATTCCTTGACTACCTTACTGCCTGCCCCTGAAGATCTCCTAGCTGAACTCCTTCATAAAGACATGGTGGCCAAAGTTCATGGACTTTGTCTCTTCCCCAGTTCTGGCTCCAATTTGGGGACAATTTCTGCATTGGCATGGGTGACTCATGCATCACTCTAGCCTCTCAGTTCCTTAACACAGACATTCACACCTAGTCCACCTTGCCACCAACTCAAATGGTCATATCCCAGACCTAATCATGTGGAACTGGGCCACTTTGAAATAATGCTCCCTGATACTTAACTTCTTGGCCTTCAGGTCCTTCACTATCTCTTCTACCTCCCCTGAACACTTTGCCTCTTAATCCCTCTACTTCCTAATTAAAGATTCCTCCTAAATTCATAGCTTCTCCTGCCCATTGTGAACTTGACAGCCAGCATTCCAACCACTCTCAAATCTTCACTTCCCTTGCCCAGCAGTCATCTGCCTATTCTGGGACAGAGCATTCAGCTTCTGATTCCTGCATGTACATGGAGAAATACTGAGCCCCTGCAGATTGGCACTACTGTAAAACACTCAACTCACTCTGCATTCCATAATGTTGGTTTTCAATGTAGCCCTCTCTCTTTCTCTCTATAAGCCCAGCCTCAAGTTTATCACCTCCTACTGTTAAAGGGGTCTCCTCTAACTCCACATAAACCACAGATGGGCATCACTCACCTTCATTACCAAGATTCTTAGTTGCCTAGATTTGCATGCACATCCTTCCCTATGCTCCACCCACTAAAGTAGGAAATAGGTATCTCTTCCCTCTCTGGCCCTGGATCACCTGCCCATGTCTTGAATATTTTATCATCTCCTCTTGAGCTAACAATTTTAATTTCACTGTCTTCTTCCCTCATTCTTATAAATATACTCAAGTATCTCATTAACTCCTCAGGCCCCTCCAGATAGTTACCACCCCTCCTCCCTCCCTTTCCCAACTAAAATTCCTCCAAGATTGGTCCATACCAACCATCTCTACATTCCCACTCTCTATTCATTCGATTTTAAGCTCACTACAGTACCTCCACCAAGCCTCTAAAATCTCACCAAAGTTATTAAGAACCTCTCTGTTGCTAAATCCAATGGGCAGCATCTCCAATTTCAACCTGATGTTCCAGTAACATCACACCATAGTGACAGGTCCCTTCCTTCGTCCCATGCAGTCATACTACAACCTCTTGGGAATTTCCTTCTCCCCTACTAACCATTCCTTTGTAGGCTGTCCATCCTCTGTCCCAAATAATGGTTTTATTTCCTCTCTGTCTCTATTCTCCCTGAGCCATCTCATCCCCTCCATAGTTGGTTACAAGCAGTATCTACTTGATGATTCCTAAATATCATAGCCATGTTTCTCCTGAGTACCAGAGCTTCATACCAACTCAGCCAGTCAAATCCAACATGCATGGGGCAGCCCAAGCCAAGAACCTACATGTCTTCTTTGAGTCTGCTTCATACCAAATAAATCACTAAGGCCTAGCAAACCCACCTCCTAAATATCTCTAAATACTTTCCACTTATTTCCATTCCTACTTTGCTAACTCAGGCCACCATATTGTTGGCTTAGGCTTCTGCAACAGGCTTCTTTCCTGTCACCAGCACAATCCCTCAACCCATGCTTTATTTCATAGCCAGAATGATTTTTCTAAATGAAAATCTGATCATGTCATCCTCTTGCCAAAATCTCTTGAATGGCTCCCCATTGACCTCTAAATTCTTTAACTTGGGTTGAAAAAGCCTTTCACAATCTGCCTCCTGCTTCTCTCTCCAGCCTAGTATTTCACAATAGCCCTCCTTGGAATTCTGTGCTTTAGTCATGCAGAAGTATTTCCAGTTCCTGAGTGCATCACACTTTCTTTTTTTTTAGATGTGGTAAATTTATTTGTCTCCTCACTAGAGCTGATTCAATTTGCATCACACTTTCTTTGGGCTCCAGGCCTCAGAACTTAGTCTTCCTTCTGACTAGAACATTCTTCCTCTACTTACCCTTCTAGGCTCACCTAGTTTATATCACCTGATCAAGCAAACTCTTCTGACTCTCACCACACATAGCTAGCCCTTCACATAGTACCCCATTCTTCCACTGTCACAGAACTAAATACATGACATTGAAATTGTCTCTTTCAGTGCTCCTCAGTGCCTCAACCTGAAAACAGAGACAGTATCACTTTATGCTTTTACCGACTGTGGACATTCTTGATGACCTTTGCCTGAGTCTCCAGCTCTTATACATACCCTGTGCATACCTCATTAGACTGTAGTTTCCTTATGGTCAGGGGCTATGCTTGTCTATTTCATGGACAAATCATCAACTCATATAGACACTCAAACAATATTAGACCAAAATTCATTTTATTGATAACAGACCTGCATAACACTTCAGGATATTCCCATAGATATATGATTTTAAAAAAAGAAAATCCAGTCATCTTTCCTCTATCACAGCATTCATTTGAACTTAGCATTCAAAAAAATAAACCACACACATCACACACACATCTGTGAACTTGGTTTTGATAAGACAGTCATAATCTTCTAATACTAAATACCTTTTGTAAAAAGAAGCAAAGATAGAATGGGGAAATAACTCAAGTTTTGTAAACATAATTATGGATGTCAGTGCCATTCATTGGGAAACAAAAATTATCATTATTTTATCAATTTAACATCAGTAATTAAAGAATACTCACAGGGATAATTCTAATATGACAAAACAGCATAAATAGATACTAGACCCAAGATAATTTAAAGACTGAATTCTGTGTTGCTCTAATAAGACTTATATAAGCTATTCTACCCTTGTTCAAGTAAAAATCCCCTCAATCCACTTTTTCTAAGCAAAGAAAAAATATGAAGATCTTCAAGTATTGGTTAATACTTACAGCAAAGAGCCTTCTGTAGTCTTCGGAGCTTCATGGCAGTCCTATAAGCTGAGAACCTGACATTGTTCAGGTCAGCTGAAAGAGGGAAAGAAAGGTCATTTGTCATTGCATTAGAAAGCACAGACAAAAACCCCCAATGATTTCCCAATACAAAAATAGGCTATAAAAAAATCTTGTGTCTATGTTTCCAAGCTTTGGGAGGTGAAATTCTGTTGATTTGAGGGGAAGAAAAAAAATAATCCTTTTGGCCTTTGACAATCAGGAAAGCTAAATTCTGTGAGAGACTACAGCAGCAGAGCCTGCAGGCATTCATGTAGTCCTTGTTCCCAAGAAGGAAAAGGAGGCCAGGTACTGTTTTCTTTTTAGACTGTGATCTGGATCTACTGTAGTGAGTCTTTGCTCCACAAGATGAATGAGAACAAGGAATACATTACTGAAATAGCTATAAGAAATTAGCAAGCAATCAAATACCAGTATTACAACAACTTGTTCTGGTTACAAAAGGTATACGTGTTTATTGTGGAAAATGTAGAAATTAAAGGAAAATATAAAATTAAGTAAACAAATCACCAATAATCCCATAACTGAAAGATATGTACTATTAACACTGTGAACTTTTTTTTTTTTTAAGACAGAGTCTTGCTATGTAGCCTGGGCTGGCCTTGAACTTACTATATAGCCTAGACTGGTCTTGACCTTACTATATAGCACAGGCTGTCCATGAACTAAAAATTTTCCTTCCTCTGCCTCCTGAGTACATATTTCAGCATATTTTTACATGGGGGTGTATGTGTGTTAAAATACAGTTGGGACTAAAATCAACTTAAAATTTTCCTTATTTTTATAAAATTGATAACATTGTATATATTTATCATGCACAAATGATGTTTTGAGATGTACGTATACATAAAGGAATGCTTAAGTCTTGCTAATTAAAGTGTATTACATCCACAGCTATCATTTTTATAGTAAGAATACTTAACATCCATTCTCTTAGTATTTTCAAGAATACAATACATCATCATTAGCTACAGTTACCAGACTATAGAATAGATTTCTTGAACTTATTCTGCTTATTGTAATTTTGCATTATTGGTCAACAACTACCATTATACTCTAAGGTATAATTCTAATATTCACCACAGAGCAACAACTAAATAATTTATTCTACTGTTTTCTACAGTCATTTGTCTATCAAGCCTCAATGCTAGTCATCTAGTACAAAGCTATATTCAGATACAGTCTGCACAAGCTTTGATATACACATGACTACATTGCTTTTCTAGTGTTTCTATGTATGTCTGTTTCAGAAACCCAGCTCCAAAAAGCTCCTTGTACATAAGAACCTTGCCACCTACTTCTGTCCTATTTCCCAGCTACTTAATATATAACTGCTCTCTGAAAAAGTAGTTTCAATACAGCGAGGGACTGACAGATTGAATGAACAAAAAAATGAAGAAAATTTAATGACAAATAATCAAATGGCACTCATACATGGTGAGACCAATTCTAATGAGGTATTAGGAAAGGGCAATAGTTTAATCCATATCCAAGTCACTTGGGTCAACATTATTAGCTTTATGGCTTTTGCAGACACAATATGTAAAATCCTGAATTTAAATCAGGGAGGAGAAAACAATGTCTATCATTTATTTTAAACCAGTCAGCATTAATTTTTTTAAGTGGCAATATCAAATAATGGCAAGGATATGGAACACAAACGTTGCTGGTAGGAATGCAAAACAGTATAACTTCAGAAACTCAGTTTAGCAGTTTCTCATAAAATCAAATATACATTTATCTTATGATTCAAATATTCTATTCCTAAATATTTAAACAAAAGAAATCAAAAGACATGTTCGCAAAAGATGTATGCATGGAGATCCACAAAAGCTTTATTCATACTAGCCCAAAACTAGAAACAAACCAATAGGGTAGTGGATAAACAAATTATGGTAGTCATACAATGAAAAGGAACTAACTATTGATAATGCAACAATATAAATCAATCTGAAAAACACTAACCTGGATATTCCATTTATATGAAATTTTAGAAAAAGCAAACTCATAGGACAGATAATACATAGCCTGGGGTGAGGTAGGGGTGGGTAACCAAACATAACAGAACACAAGGGTATTTTCTAGGTGACTGAAATAGGTATTTTGATTGGTGAGTGGTTGCATGAGTGTACGCATTTGTCAAAACTCAAACTATATCCTTAAAATAGAAGCATTTTATGGTGCTTAAATTATGCTTTAATAAAGTAAATTCTAAAAGTTTAAACAGTTGTCTTAATCAGGAATGCATACACCAGGGATAGTTGGCTAGTAATTAATCAAAAAGCCTCACTCCAGAAATGGCCACTATAAGTACTTCAGTTATATTTAGCCATTACACCAGGGGTTTCATTAATTATCCTAATTAATGTTAAAGGAGCTTGTGTTGGTGACGTTAGTAGTCAGCAAAATATGAAGATTTTTGAAAACATTCACCGACTTTATGTTAACAGGGTTTAAGAGGAATGTAGCAGGTCATACAGTTTTAGACATTGAGCCCGAGGCTGGATTCCAAACAGTTCAACTCAGCCTCAATGGATTCCCAGTTGCCTGAATTCAATAAAATGATTGACAGAATCCTTGTTGTGAGATCAATCGTTCTCAAACTTAAGTATACATATAAATCACCAGAAAGAACAGTTCCAAAATACAAATATCCTAGGCCCCAATCTCAGATTTCCTGATTCAGTAGGTCTGGGAAAGGCTTGAGAATCTGCACTTCTAACAAGTTTCCAGGTAAGCTGATGCTACTGGTCCAAGGACCACATTTTGAAAACCACTGTGGTGATGAAAGTCTGGCCCGCTGTGAACCACTAAAACAGGCAGAGATGTAATTTCATTATGCCTCTGGTATTATAGGCTTTAAGATTATTATGTGCCCACTGGCTAATAAATGTTTGTATGTGACAGAGCTTATTCTGAGACCGGCAGCCCTTAGCTACTTCCAGCTTGTCCTTCATTCTCTCTGCAATAGTCGGGGATCTTCCTTTGTCTCTTTTCCCCAGTCATCATTGCTCAACTTTCTGGGTGCTTTCAATTGACTCATGGTAAGAGTTGTCTTCTGGCATTAATCCACACACACACACAAAAAAAAAACCCATTCCTTTCCTCCCCTCCATAGGGATGTAACACCATTCACCAGTACAATCAGACTTTCCCTATCTTGCTAGCATGGCATTCTTTCACACACATTCATAACTAAGTCCCTTAGGTGCTCTATAAAATAAGCAATGTAGACACCCAGAAATGCACTTTTGGTCAAATACAGATCAATTTTCTCTTAACAAGAGCTGACAGCAGTTTCTAAGATATGAGCTTCTAACCCCAATTTTCTTATTCATTTGCTTACACAAAAGTGTTGAGTATGAGCTATGTGCCAACCAAACATCTTGGTAGAAGATACTGGCTCAGGGTTTCTCTTCTTTTCCCTTTCTTTCTAATCCTCCTTTTCAACTGTGTCTTAACTTACTGCCATAGTTTCCTCCTATCTTCCTTCTTTTGTACAAACAAGGACCCTCTCTTATGACCCCAATTCACCTCCCCTTTCAAATTTTCCTGATTCTATTCAGAATTCAGAACAAATGGTCCAAATGAGGTCAGATACTCCATCCAACTCTCACAGTTAGAATCAAAAATTGGCAAATTCCAGGAACTAGAGATCCAAATGGGAGAGTCAAGGATGCTCTGATTCGTTCAGGGCATGAATCACTGTGGAACAGTATCAAGAGACAAGCATCTGGGATATTCCTGCTCTAGCAGTGCTCTCAGCTTCCCTAAAGCAGTTCAAACTTTCTTCTCCTCCAAATCCTTCTAATTATGACACATTCTGCCTCTAAAATCCTCCTTGACACCCTTATATCCAACACACTGCAAAGAACAAACTTCCTGCCATCACTTTTCTAAGCACCATAGTCCATCCTGTTTGCATTGTTTGAGTCTACAAGTGCTGCCAGGAATCTGTACCAACCCCATCCCCCCTTGTCAGGCTTCTGGGTTATAGCTGTAAGAGATATGTCTGGTTGTGAAAGTATGTAGGATGCACACAGAAATTTTATGATGGGATACAGCTGCAAACAATGTGATGCTGTCCTGGGCTGAAGCTTGAGATGACTGAGTAGAGAAAATATGCACACAGTTGAAGAATGCTAAGCCCCTCATTCCCATGTTGATGGGAAGCTGCCTTCCATTTTCCCCCGGAGCTGCCTTTCCAGAACTCATATCCAAGTGGTAATGAGCTCAATAGCTCTCACTGCCGGAACTCAAGAGAAGTAGAACTATCCAAGAAACAAGTTATACCATGTTTCCATGGCAGTGGGTAGAAAGCACACTTCAGAAGGATAAAAATGCTGATACTGTACATTCCTCTTACTAGCTTGTATTATTTTATTTGAGGCTGGTTCTAGCCTAGAAATATAGAAAATCAAGAAACACAAGGAACAAGGGCAAATATCAAGCCATCTGCCTTCTCAAGTTGAATAACCACCTACTGAAATGGTGGCCCATTCACTGACCTTTCATTCTGAAACAGAAAACAAGTAATAGGTTATTCTGCCCCTTTGTTTAGCCTATGAACTTCTCTTTGGTAAATATTTTTGCTTTATAGTTTTTGCTTTCACTCTGTGGTAGGTGGTAGTGGAAAGCAAGCATCCAAGGCATCAGAAAAGAACAACTGATCAAGTTCTGGTCACAAATTTACACAGGTTGGACATACTCTTGCAAAAAATAGTGGAAAGCAGCTTAGCATAGTAAAGTCATGGGAAAATATAGAAGATATTATAGAAAGAAAACACTAAGCTCCTTCATTTCAATTTTACAGCTGGTTTCTACCTTTTAATAATGCTGCCAAAGACATGTGCCAGTGGCTCACGCCTGTAATCCTAGCTACTTGGGAGGCTGAGATCAGGACTGTGGTTCAAGGCTAGTCCTAACAAGTAGTTCATGAGATCCTATCTTGAAAATACCAAACAGGGCTGGTAGAGTGGCTCAGGTGGTAGAGTGACTGCCTAACAAGCATGAGG